TTGAAAAACTATTGGACACAACAGTTGACAAAACATTGGACACAACAGTTGACAAAACAGTTGAGTAAAAGAGTTGACAAAACAGTTGACAAAACAAATCAGTTCACAAAACGATTTGCAAAACCTAATTGGTCGCAGTGGTTATGGGCGGGGGGGGGGAGGGGGGATGTAAAGCGATGCTAGCAAATATAGACAAGAGAACAACCTCAATTCCTTTACAACACAAGTAGACAAAATAATACAATTGAACACACGGTCAAAGTTTTACATTACAAGTAGGCAAAACAATTAAACTCGTGGTCACACTTTATATTACAAGTAGACAAAACAATTTCAAGTTTTACAGTTTCAAGTTGACTTCAAAATGTTAAGAAAAAACACCAGATCCCAGAACACTAAAGAGTGCCCACATAAAAAAAAAAAACTATTCTTTTAATTGATGTAACTTTAAAAAGCCGTGTAAATTAAATAGCGCTTTTAAATGTTATTAAGATATTTGTGAGCAGCATCAATAACTTGAGGACCTTTCAAATCGATGCTGTCAAAAACCCTGCAAGTTATTCCCGTCAAAGTGAGACCGGTACAGCCGTAACAGGACACCGAAGGCAAGGCTTATAAAACAGCTGAGTGCTTCATTTTCCTTCATAACAGGAAGTAACCAAACATAGTGATAACCATGTTCACATAAGTGACGATGTTTAACAAAAAATAATGTAGATAACTTTAAAACCTATTTCTACAATGGTGCACATTTTAAGCAGAAACCGATCGAATATGAGTTCAAGATATTGGTCGAAACTTTAACCAAAAAGAAAGTTACAAAGTAACTTTTGGCCGAAACTGAAACAAAAAAGGGTCACGAGATTTTTCAGCCGGAAACTGAAAGATTTAAAAAGGAATGTTACCATTCATTAGGATTTTTAATTTTTTTATTATGATGATGCCATTCCCAAGCTCTTATGTTCTGGTCATATTAGTTTAAACCAAACCAGATCAGGGCGGTCTTCAATTCTGGAAGTCTCGCTGAAGACTTCTCCGCAACATCGGGCCAATGGCCAGTTTACGAATTATCTCAATTTTTTTTTATTATGGACTGAGCTTATCAACAGTACAATTATTATCCAAAGTTCTGAAACAAATTGACATTATAAATGTAGCAGACTTTCAGAGATATATTAAAGTTCTTTGCAATAGTTTGAAGGTAAATTTTATGGATTTTTTTTTTTTTAAAAGGAAAGCTTTAGATTTTTAATATTTGAAATACATTCGTATTTAAATATCTTGATATATTCATAGATTTATTTTCCCGCAATGTTCTATAAATATATATTTATCCAAGCTCTTGGAAAAGTTAAAGGATTTTTAATGTCATTTATCCAGGTATTGCTAGAATTAAAAAGAAAAATTATAATAATAATAATTCGTGTATTCCTAAATGACTTTTGTTTTAAAAGATAAACACCATGGGGATGCAGCCCAATTCTTTGAATAGATCAGTCTCAAAATTTTGGAGATTAAAAGAACTGGATATTACTGAGCCTTCTGTATATCCGATCCATAAAAAAAAAATATGTTACATGAAATTTTTGCTGATAATATATTCTTTTTTCCTTGTTCACTTGTGGAGTGTGTAGGGAGGCCTTTTGTTGATTAGTGGGGAGTGTGTAGGGAGGCCTTTTGTTGATGAGTGTGGAGTGTGTAGGGAGGCCTTTTGTTGATGAGTGTGGAGTGTATAGGGAGGCCTTTTGTTGATGAGTGTGGAGTGTGTAGGGAGGCCCTTTGTTGATGAGTGTGGAGTGTGTAGGGAGGCCTTTTGTTGATGAGTGTGGAGTGTGTAGGGATGCCTTTTGTTGAGGAACTGCGAGGCCTGCTAAGGGTTTGTGTTGTGGACTATGAGGGCGTCCCTGCCACAGTCAATCCTCTAACGGAATTCCTCTCTATTCTATGCTTGCGTTTCAGTGGGACAAATTTCCTTTTATACTTAATTTCCTTATACTTCCTTTTTATAAATCCTCTTTTTCATTAAAATTCTTCTTAATCACATACTTCCTGTCCATATACATCTTACTTTCCTTATAATTCCTTCCCTTACAACACTTCCTTACCCACAATGCCTAGCTTATTGTTAGTGCACAGTATCCTCTTGAACTTAACGGACCTTCCTGCCAAATAAGATGACACCATTTCTCACCGTCCTAGTCCCAGCAAAAGAAAGGTTCATTATATTATTAATTCAATACTATTTTGATATCCTCTGTAAATTTGCGTAGGTTTGTTTCCCCTAGCATAATTAGTTTGAGAAATGTACCCTCACTTTGTTGAGAACCTTCAAAGAGTGATATGCAATGTCCGTCGGAGTGTTGCCGTCTACGTGAGACCACCTGCTGATGGACGCTGGCAGGAGACTTTTTTTTCAGTTGTATGAAAATAAATCTCTCTTGTTTTTTTTGTTTTTTTTTGGCTTCCTTGTAAGGTACAGGTCTCAAAGATGCAAACAAAAGGGCTCATATCATTGTTAGACCAATACCAAAATATGATGTCCATACATGGGCGGATAGAAGATTTTTTTGTGGTGGTGTGATTTAGCAATAATACAACCCAATTACAATCTCTTGATCCGCCAGTGCGAGGGAGTGTAGTAATATGAAAGTACGTAGTGCCGCAGAAACTGCTTTAAATAAATTTAAATAAAATATGTATCTTGTCCCCATCGCCACAACGTATCTGCAGAGTGAAGTGGACTTTTCCCAGAAAGCACACCCATGCAACGTGATTACGCCCTTAATCCAAGCCTCTGAGCTTACGGCAATCGAACATTGTGCTTAGATCTGAAACAATAGACCTTACGATATCAAATCTCTGTTGATAAATAACAATCGGTTTGACCATGGCACAACGATAATGTTGCCTGCCACACGTTTGATGAAGTCCCTAACTTTAGGAAAAAGCCGGTTGGCTTAGCTGGTTGGTATAGCAGGGCAAGTTGATAGATGGAGTATCTGGTGGAAGTAGCTGGCTGGCGTAACTGGTTGGAGTAGCTGGTTGTAATTACTGATTAGAGTAGCTGATTCTATGATTCTAGCAATAAGTAGCTGATAATTATCAAAACTGTGTAAATTAGCTCTTAATTGAAATTTACACAGACCTGGAAATCAGATATAAATAATTGTCTAAATGTGTTTCCGCTTCTCTATTTGGAATTTCATCATGTATTTGCATTTGTATTTTGATTCTTATCAGTGTATTTGTAGAAATGTTTTTTTTTTAGTTTCATTTCTTACAACGAAACCACAGGCCTACATGTTAGATACATTGGACGTGCCCTCCCCCCCCCCCCCCCGTGTTAGACATTACATTTAAAATTAAATAAAATACAAAACACGCTAGTGGTGGGGCTGGTGTTAAAATGGAGTGGTCGGATTTTTTTAGCTCTTAGCCGCCAAATAAGACAACCTTTGGATTTGGTAAATTTTAGGAGTCTTTAACGAAACAAAATAAAAGATTAAACAATAATGCAAACGGCAGTTTGAGCTCTGTCTTTAAATCAGCTTTCTTGGTCTCGATAAGCGTGATATTGCACACTAGATATAGCCCGCCAAACATTGGCGACAGAAATGCGTGAACTTCCAATCTACTTAAGTTACTTGGCAAAACGTGAACTTAAGTTACCCACATTTAAGAATCTTAATTTTCGCTACTCCCCTCCCCTCCCCCCATGATACCTCACTGCACACTTTTTATTTCACCGACCATGAACTATATTAATATTGTGATGCCCCAATCTCTTTTAAAGTGAATATTTATTACCCCATATTTAAATTGATAAGATTTTATTTTCCGAAAAGAACGAAAACAATACGCACCAAATTCAGTTGCGGTATTCAAAAAAAAAAATAGTTTAGTGTAGTTATCGGGAATTAGGTTTCCCGGCGCTATCCGGAAATGGAGGCAGCCACACCACAAGCAAAATATACATAATAGATTATATGCTTGCTTAGCCAGGTAGTGACTGGCATATCATTCGCATATATGCATGTTTTTTTCTGACATTTCTTTTTTGAACGCATTATTTTTGTTTTACTATATAGTATAATGCGTAGAAAAGGAAATTTCACGAAAATTTTAACGTCCGAACTGAAAAATTTGGGTTTGGGAAGTGGGGGGGGGGGAGCGTTAATCGACCAAAGTAGGTTGACAGCATTCAAGGGTGGTCGCTTGGGCCGACGGCTTATTATAGTATAATGCGTAGAAAAGGAAATTTCACGAAAATTTTAACGTCCGAACTGAAAAATTTGGGTTTGGGAAGTGGGGGGGGGGAGCGTTAATCGACCAAAGTAGGTTGACATCATTCAAGGGTGGTCGCTTGAGCCGACGGCTTAAGAACGTGTTTTATATCAGCTATTTCTTTTTAGAAAAATCACTGCCCGCAGGGGTCAGTTGTCTCTACGCATATCTTGTCTTTCGCTGTGACATCATTTTGGTTTGGGCTGGGTTGGGCATTTGCCCCCCCCCCCTCCTCCAATGTATTTTTAAGTTTTATTTATAAACTGGCTATGTACTCTGGCTCCTCCATTAATACACAACTTAGTAAGCCAACAAAGTTTTCGTTTTGCCTCACCCACCCCCCCTGAAAAAAAAAATCTGAAATGACGCCCCTGGACTTTCGTGGTGCTCTTTCACGTTTCGAGGTCAACTCGTCTAGAATTGTATTAGTTGAAATGGCTTTTTTTTTTTTTTTTTTTTTTTTTCTTGTTTTGTTTTTTTCTCTTTTAAAATTTTATTTTTTTAAATTTTTTTTTTTTTTTTTTTTTTTAATTTCATTAAAACTAAATTATATATCACAATGTTAAGTCCCTTTTAATATAACTATTAATATTTGAAACAGTATTTATAGCAATGGTTTAGATTTTCTTTTCGTGGGGTTTACCTAAATATTCGTAATGATTAATTTAAAAATTTTTAAAAAAGCAGACGAAAAAACGAAAAGAACTGTAACTCCGTTTCAATCTAAATTTTTATTTACAGGCCTATAAGAATTGTTATTAAGACAATTATAATTTTTTAATTGTCAAACTCCATTAATAGCAGTACTTTCGCACCACATCAGGGGTGCAATAATTAAAACAGCATTCACACACTAAGTTGGTTGTCCGTTGTCTCTTGGTCAGATAGGTCAAAGCGCTCTCGCTGCTCAGCTTTATGTTACGCAGTGGGTCGTCCAGATCTGAAAAGGGGTACAGCAAAAAAAAAAAAAAAAGAAGTCATTTTGAAATCCTTCCTATTAACTTCGCTTTATGTTCCCCAAAATTTCAGCACCATCCCAACCCCCCCCCCCCCCCAAAAAAAATAATATAAAGAATCAGGTTTTTTTCCCCTCATGATTTTCTAAGAGAAGATGAAGGAAATATGATGCGACTTTTTTCAAGAAATAAAATTTCCGATAACTGAGCTAAATCAGATTCTTAAAAATATCGCAGGTGCTTTTTGGCTTTCTGAAATAGTTGGTGAAATAAATATGTGTGTAAACACTGGCGGGACATGATAATATTGATATACAATTTAAAACTATTTTAAAAATGCATATAAAGGATGTATACGAAAAACAATTATTTTTTTTTAAAGGGTTGTATAGTTTAGTATTTAAGAACGTAGTTTAAAGACCTTTTTAAAATCATTAATATGAACTTAGATTGCGCTCACGTGTTTGCTAAAGCCAAAATCTCCGGACTTCTAACTGACCCACTTCCCGTCGTCCTATCGAGCTTAAAACTTGGGACATCATTCTTCTTGTTTTTTTTAAATGCTTACCGAACATATGTTTTATAGTAATCATTTCTTTTTCCACCTGGAACAATCACATATTTGTGTTTAAATAAGAGAGTTTGATTGATTTGAAGTATCCCGCGTGTGTGTTCAACTGAGACAGTTACGTTGACATATGGGCTGCGTGACAGTAACCCACCTGTTTCTGCGTTCCTCTTGACCATGGTTTCTGGCAGTAACCAGCCTGTTTCTGCGTCCCTCTTGACCATTGACGGTGAGTTTTGGTTCGAACATATGAACGCCCGGAAGCCAGCCAAATTCGAGCCACAAATCCCACGGGGATGTGGTCGGCTTGATAAACTGCAAGATGATTGGCCCTCTGCAGGTTTCACGACAACGTCCAGCAACAGGGTGAGAAGCACTGTGACCACAAAGGCGTTGGTGAAAACGAGGCGCACGCCGACCATTTTGGATTTTAGCTTGGAGAATTCAAAATTTTGAAAAAGAGGTGAATGGAACACAAGAGAACGTCATCACGTGTAGAGAAGATTCAATTTGTTGATTTTTTTTTTTTTCATCTTTGTGTGTAATGGTTTTTTGCATGTCAATCTCATTATTGTTTCAACTTTTAACAAACTATTTGTATGTGTTTATGTCTATGCTAACGATGAGATTTAACCAGAACCAAAATGTATGAACATAAAGAATATATGAGTCAAACATAGAATCGTAAAATATACTTTCAAAGATATTCATGTTTTTGATTAGCATTTCTGAAAACAATATTTTGAACGTCAAAGAAAAAAAGAACAAAAAAAAAAAAGAAATCAACTACAAACAAAAACATTACTTCTGTGTGCCATGATTTTAAATAAAGTTTAAATAATAAAATATTATCTGATATGTGGTTAGTCCACGTGTTTCTATCAACACTGGCAAGTAGCTCAAACTCAGTTGAAGAGACTGACCTGGAGATGAAGAACTTCCCTGGTTGGTCTGCCACGGCCGTGGGTTGTGTTGAGAGCTGTAACATTGGCTGGATTCTTTTATAGCATTCGTCATTGCTTTAGTTACCCGCTTAGACAAGTCAAGACAAGAGAAAAGTCTTTTTTTCTTCTAGAAGCTGCTGTAGGATTTCTTTCCTTTCCGATGTCTTCAATGTTTAAATTTGTCTCTTTTTTATTTTTTATATTTTTTTTTCGCATTGTTTCGGTTTCCAGAAGTTTTAAATTCCCCGGTATCTAAGTCGTGGGCGGAGATATTTAATATGTTTTTATGAACTATTTCTAAATTATTTTGAATAGTTAATAAAAACCACTTGTCAGCTGTCAAAAGAAGCTGGAATACAATACAAGTCTGTGGTAACCGTGCATTCCCGAAAACATTCCAAAAGCCCATGCTCCACGTGCACTCATCTAGGGAGATCAATGGGTTAGGAAAACGCTGATGAGATCCAAGCAGAGTTAAAAAAGCTTTCAATCCAAACGAACTCAATTGCTAAAGTAGATTAATTAAACACAAAAAAATTAAAAAAAAGTAAATGTACAGCTTCAATGGTAATTTTACAGAACGCAAAAGTAAAATTCTCGACAAATGCGTGCATCAGTAAAAAAAAAATAAAACACATTAAAAACGTATTATTATATAAATATATTAAATTTATAAGAACGTGTAACATATTTTCATAGATGCTATTTTACTTTTTGAGTGGGACAGACATAATTTGAGGACCTTTTAATCGGTGTTGCGAAAGCCCCACAAGTTGTCCCGTCAAAGTGAGACCAGTGCAGACTTCCGATGAGGCCGATTAGAGCGGATAAAAAACTCTTAAGTGCGTCATTACTCTTTATAACAGGGAGTATCTATTTTTATACAAGGAAGTATTCATTTTTGTAGTTTAGAGAGAGAGGGTCTCACACGATTAAAGCCCATTCTACTGTTTCTTCCTACCAACACTCTAAACAGGGTTGCTAAATCTGCCAAATTACCTTTTTAACAAAAATCTCTCCTCGTGTTATTTCCTTACAAGTCTTTTTTTAATACGTATTTTTCTCATACTTAATGTTTATGTTTCCGTTCTTGATACTTCCTTACCATATACTTCCTGTCATATACATCTTATTTTCCTTTAAATCGGATACAATAAATATGCCTGTATCTTAGAATATGTAACTTTTAATGTGCAGCCCAAGTATTCAATTAATTATTATTATAAGCTAAAAATAAATTCAAAACATTAATTTAATAAGTATTTTAAATATTTCATCTGAATGTAAAAGTTAATATAGTGTACAACATGAGTTCGACAGTTTTTATTGTTAATATTAATTTGACATCAAACTTATCGGGGATACCAAGAAAACCTGTTTCTTGAAACTTTGGCGAGTTCTTTATTGAAACTGAGAAAATAATAATAAATTAATGTTCTTCAATTGTACAAATGATTCAAAGCAATATTAAATTTCCATTGGAACTGCATGAACCTTCCCTCCCACTCCAAAAAAAAAAAATGGATAATCTTATAAGAGCTTACTTTAAACACACACCAATCGCAGGCCTTAACGTTTCTTGATTGTAACAAACTGTAACAAAACTGTCAACATTCGTTCATTCTCTTTGTTAACTAATGTTTTTTATCACGGCATATTAAATTTAAGCTTCGCATCTTTAACATTCAGTTAGTTGTACTTATTTTTTCTCTCTAAAAAATTTTGCAAATCCGTGGCAAGGTTCTTGCAGTCGGTGGCAATTTTATTGGGGTTAGTGTTAAGCAGTGGCGTAGCTAGGGGGGGTGAGGGGGTGAGGACCACACCGGGTGTCACCTTCTCAGGGGTCACCCAATTGAAAAATTGAAAAATTGCATATTTACAGAGCACACAACGCTCTGTCTAACCAAATTTCATAAAAGGATAACCGATCACACGTTAATTTTCCACACGTGTAACTTATCCCAATGACGCGTCAGAAACACCTTTTTGACCATGATTCAACGCCGATTGAAATGTTCGGTAGCTTTCATCAATGACAGGAAGCAATGTTTATCTAAATTCTGATTAATCAAGCTTTCCACTAAAATCAAATATGATATGGTCGGACAATTCTAAGCTAATAAATTGAATCGGTAAAAATTAATAACATTAAAAATGATATTTTACCTATTTTTTGGGTCAACAAAATAATATTTGACAAAATTTATTTAAATTTTTTAAAATGTTTTTCAAACCAAATCTATCGAAATCAGAAATATTCAAAAATAAATATTTTCGCCGATTCGTAACTAAGCACCACCTCTTAACATTAGAGCACGATTGTAATACAACTCAAGGTGTTTTACATGCTATATGTGATTTCACGTTTATCTGATACATTTACTTTTGGGAGATCTACTTGAAGAAATTAATCTTACACAGATGTAACTGCAGATTGAAGGTTTTACTCAGGACAAAATGATGACCAACCTAGAGGTCTTAAGATTGTTGCTGCACGAGAAGCGCTTTCACTTTGTGGAACATTTGACATTTTGTTAGAGAGAACACAAAGGTTTAAGAAGTTAATAAAAGGAGAACAATTAATAGATGCTAGACTCTCTCTCTGCGAGTAGTAAAGCGAAGAGAGATGCGTTTGTGTCTTGCGCTCAATCTGAAGTCCAGATCAGTGATCAAGGAATTAGCAGATATGTTTGGGGCTGTTCAACTCAAGAGTCCACTATAAAAAAAGTGAAGTAGAGTTATTGGTGTCCGTTCCAAAATTAACCTCTTTCTATTATAAGTTATCAGAAGATAAACTTTCAAAAAGAAATACTGGGCTTCGAAGAAACTAAAGGCAGCTGATATCAGATTCCAAAGTAAAATTCATGTTAAAATAGCTATAACTTAAAGTTTTTACTTCTTCTTCTTGTATATTTTGAGGACCTTCGATTAATCTATTGATCATTCTGGCTTCTATAAATTTTTAAATACAGTTCTTAAATACATATATCTCCTGAACTTTAATTAATTTTTTTTTTGTTTTAGTAATTTTGTTATTCTGTGGACTTATTTCAACTATAAACAAATTTATCTTTAATGTCGGGGTCGGGGCAGTGATTATTTCAAACATTTTCCCCGAGGGGCACTTTAGATTTTTCGCGGGGGAGGGGGGGGGCGGGCAGTGCCAGAAGTGCCAGTTGATTTATTGTTGGAAATATTTTTTCTCCGGGGGCACTTGGGTTTCCCCGAGTGTATAGCTGAAAGAAACCCTCGGGGAGGGGGGATGTTGACACCACGAGTTTACCGCACCGGGTTACACCGGCTCTAGCTACGCCACTGCGTGCGGGAACTTATTTGAAAGTTTGTCTTGTTATTATTTATGGGGGTAGGTGGAGGTGGGAGGCAAATTCAACTACGGTTAGTGCTGCCCGGGATGGGGCGAGAATTTCGTCAACCCACTTTTCTGCAGAAAAAAAACAAACCAAAAAAAAAAAAAACTATAGTTGATTGAAAATAGCACCCCCACATCTTTGAAGAAAAATGTGTAGCCCGGGGCATGCTGACCAGCCCACACCCCTCTTCCTCCACTACAGTCGGCCATCTTTGGCAATGTGTTTGGAATTATGAACTTTCATCAATCAGAACAATGATAAACTCCTTGACTCACGCAATCCATAACACGTTGTGGTCATTACATTTCCCTGAAACTTGAGTGCTTGCTACTTTAGAGTTACGATACAAGATGATCGACAGGCGCTCTGTCTTAAAACCTCATTTCGAAAGAGAAGTGTCTTTTCTCGAGAGTCTTCTTAAGCGCCGATGCCAGACACTGGCAACGAAGATTGGAATAAAGACAGCGTTAATAATCTTGGATTTGTTGTCATTCTTTATTTTCGGCTGTCTCAACAGTGGGCACACTGCTGGCAGCTCCTTTGGTGCGAAAAGTGATGTCTAGAAAGATAGTTCTTTTTTTAAAAAAAAATCTTTTATTTTGTTGTCTTACACTGATTTTCTTTTCTAGTTTTACAGTCATACTTTTCTGTCATACTTTTTACGTTTGCTAAACTTTGTCTGGATTTGCGCCCACTCTTATTCTTTTCAATAGTTTATGTAGCATGCATGTTAATATATATTATGTAAATTTGATTAAAACTTATTTCAATAGTTGGTTGTTCTTTTTTTAGTAATAATTGAGTTATGGGCGGAACAATTTAATATGTTTTTGAACAACTTCTCTAGCATTTTAAATCGTTTAAAAAAAACATTATCAGCTGACAAAAATGCTGAACTGCAGCAAATGTGTGTGATTACCGAGTGATGAGCTCTCTTTTTGTTTATACGCGTGGCGCTTTCGGTACAGCATATGGTTGTGTGAAGTGTTGAATGTGTTAGTTCACGAGACCTTAGACATGTCCTTCTTCGTCCAATAATTTAACCAGTTTTAAACCAGTTTTTAACCCTTTCTGCCCATCCGATTTGTACAGTATTACTCACAGATGTGTTATCGGTGTTAGTTCCATTAAGTTGTTAGAATCGAGACTGATCTATATGAGTACCCGAGTACGTTTTACGGGTCAATATCCCAGTTACAGAAAACTAACTTCATTGATATACATTACCTCAACATTCACTGAAAAACTCACACAAAAATTCACAAAAAATAAAATGTAAAAGGATGTTAAATAAAAATACAAATGAGAAATATCTCAACACCTATTAAAACAAACGGATAAAAAACATTGAACATATATGGTCACAATTTACTCCACAGAACAGATGAGAACATTCAAAATATGGTCACAATTTACAGCAGAAAACAGAAGACAACATTCAACATATTGTCACAATTTACAACACAAAACATTCAACGTATTGTAAAAAATTTCAACACATATCATTCAACATTAGTTGATAATTTACACTATAAACATTAAAATATTAAACATAGATGGTAATATTTTACAACACAAGCATATTAGACATAAGACATATGGCCACAATTTACAAAACAAACAGATGGTCACGTTGCCTGCAATTGTTCCTGCAATTGT